AACTTTTAGCCAACTCAGCCATGAGCTTTGGAGGTATCCTATGGTTTCTCACCCACTGCAAGCTTCCCCAGAAATGGCAAAGATGCTATCTGTACCTGATATTGCCCTGACAAAACTACAACTGGAACTTGCCAGGGGATGGGAGGGTGGGTGTGGTGGCACTTGGGGAGGTAGAGGCAGGCAGATCTCTCTGAATTCAAGGCCAGCCTGACCTACACTGTGAGTCCCAGGCCAGTTGGCGCTACAGTGAGACACTGTCTAAAAATGAAAACAATCCAAAAAACATACAACTGTACGTTGGAAGTAAATACTTATTTGAAGAGAGATTTGGGTAGTACATCTCTGTATCTCCCACAAGGCGCAAATAGATGTCCAGTGAGTACACTTTTCAAGGATAAGATGTTCTCATTCCATTTTTCACTTCTGGGGAAATCTTCACCAACTGAGGATTATTTTTTTTAACATGGTAAGGAAAAGCATTGCAAAGAATTCTATTTGTCTTTCAATATCCATTTGACTGTTCTTCTTTTATAGACTCCTGGTTTTTAGTTGTCATGTAGCCTCCCAGAATAAAGCTGTGAACTAAATCTTGTGGGTTTTTTGTCTTTTTGAGACAGGGTCTCCCTGTAGCCCCAGCTGGCCTGGAACTCACTATGAAGACCAGGCTGGCCTTGAACTCACAGAGATTCGCCTGCCTCTGCCTCCCAAGTGCTGGGACTACAGGCAATCACAACCACGCCCAGCAGTGATCTAAATCTTATTGGCACTATAAACTGTATAGGAAGATACAATTAGTTGCAGATAGTTGAATCTCACAGAAAGGAAAATTAGAACTGGTTATCCAGGTAGAGTTTGAAAGTACCAATGACTGTTAGTCCAAAAAGGAGGCACTGCCAGTCTACTGCACATAAGGACTAAGACTCTCTCTCTCTCTCTCTCTCTCTCTGCTTAACACAGACCTGCTTATGCTGTGTGTGTGTGTGTGTGTGTGTTTGAGACAGGATCTCCCTGGAGCCCCAGCTCTCCTGGAACTATGTAGACCAGGCTGGCCTTGAACTCACAGAGATCCGCCTGCCTCTGCCTCCCGAGTGCTGGGATTAAAGGCATGCGCCACCACAACCGGCCTATATTTTTAAGTTCTAACTTTGATTCTTTGGGTATCTATAGACTTGCTCAATTTGGGTCATTGTCTTTTTAGGTTTGTTTTATATGAAGTAGGCATCTTTGGGACTGGAGACATAGCTCAGCAGTTAACAGCAGCGGCTGCTCTTGCATGTGTATGAGAGTTGTGCCTGCATGTATGTAAGTGCACCCATGTTGTGCAATGCTCAAAGAAGCTAGAAAAGGTCACCAGATACCCTGGAGCTGGAGTCACAGATGGTTGTTAGCCACCATGCTCTGTAAGAGCAGTCAGTCTTCTTAACCACTGAGCCATCTCCTCAGCCCCAGTATTCTGTTCTAAATGAGATCACATCAGATTTTACTTATATGGCCTTTTACATAGTATTTCCAATTCAAGAGCTTAACTGAAAAACAATTTATCTGGCACTGAGCTAGGATACTTAGTTATATAAAATAAATGTTTGTTTCTTGAGACAAGGTCTCAAGCAGACCAGGATGACCATGAACTCACTATGTAGCAGAGGCTGAATTCTTGATCCTTTTGCCTCCACTGTTCAAGTGCTGGGATTATAGAGTGTCACGGTGCAGTGACCACAGTCCAAGCCTAAAGGGCTTGGGGACACCGACGGATAGAAATCAGGATGCAGGAATGCAGAGGTCTATGTGCCAGTGCATGTTTATTGTGAACTAAAGCAAGATTATATAGGAATCAGATCTGGAGTAACCAAGGAATAACTAAGGATACGTCACTAAACAGAAAGTAACCAAGGAGTAACCAAGGATACATTATGTTACCACCAAGAATACATTACTTCACCAACCAAAACTCACACGTTTACAGTATCCATGATTCAGCTACATAATATTTATAATATCTTAGATATAAGGTGTAGTGTTTGTGATTACTCTTAGCAACTACTATAATTCATTATTTCTATACAGAAACCAAGCTAATGGTGCTGAGAAACTCCAGTGCCCATAAACTGAAACAGAACTCTTTAGTTATGTTTCCAAGACTGCCAATTAATCAGGGAAGCATAGCCTGTCAGCTCAGACCACAGAAGCAGAGAGCAGGGAAACTCCCAAGGTGGAAGCATTCTTTCTCCAATGCTTAAGTCAAGGTAAGCTGCCACAGCCTAATGCGGCAATGGCTGTGCCCATAATAATAGTAGTTCCCAACAATAGATGTGCACCAACTACCATTCTTGGCTTGTATAAAATAATTCTATAACATTTTTTAAAAACAAGACACAGAAAGCACTGAATTTTAAAAGAACTTCTAGTCACCAAAAGGCATCATTAAGATAAAAGGATAAATCACAAATCAGATGATATGATGGTTAGTTTTCATTGATAATTTGACTCTATCTAGAATCACCTGTAGCGTCTCAATGAGGGACTATCTAGATTAGGTTGACCTGTTGGCATGCCTGTGGGGAATTGTCTTGATTATGTTAACTGATATGGGAACACCTAGGTCAAAAGTAGGCATTACCATTCCCGGAGTTTGGATTACAAAAACCAAGACAGTCAGCTGAGCACTGACAAGCATGCGTGAGTCTATTCTTTCTGCTCTAAGGAGATAGTAAGCTAGATGTGATGTGACCAGCTGTATTAGTTCCTGCTGCCTATGACTTCCTTGCTATGATGAACTGTGACCTAGAACTGTGAGCTAAATAAAATAAACCCTTTCTCCCCTAGATTGTTAGGTATTTTGTCACAGCAACTGGAGGGAAACTAGGACAAATGATAGAGGTAAAGCATCTGCGACAAAGGCTGGTAATCACAAATAAGAAAAGAAGCCAAAAGGCTAATGCAGTGATAAAATGAAGAAAAGAAACTTGAACATACATTCTGAAGAGGAGATGTGACCAGTAATCCGAAGAGTCATTTAATCTCTTTCATTATCAAGGAAGTGAAACCCAATGGCGCACGGTATGGTGGTGGCCTCAGGAGCCCCACGGGGCCTTTTGCCTTTGTACTCTGGGGTGTCACTTTGGTAGCTTGAAATCAGCCACACTGAGCAAAACTGTACAATGAAAAATGCTACAAACTAGGACTATTTTTCAGTCATTACTATAGTATGTACACTAAGACACATATGCACGCCAGAACATGGTGGCTCGCTCTGTTTTCCAGTAACATAGAAGGGTGAGGCAGATGGACTGTTGCCAGTTGGAGGCCAGCCTGAACTACAGACCAATAACCTGTCTACAAAACAAAAGCAAAGAAAACAAAAAAGGTATACATGCACAAGCTGCTATTATTTTTGCTTAGAGAGAAACGTAGTAAGGGGCTTCTTAGAAAGATGGCTCAGCAGTTAAGAGCACTGGTTGCTCTTGTAGATGTGGGTTCAGTTTTTTGCTTAGAGTGAAACGTAGTAAGGGGCTTCTTAGAAAGATGGCTCAGCAGTTAAGAGCACTGGTTATTCTTGTAGATGTGGGTTCAGTTCTCAGCATCCACGTGGAGGCTAACAACCACCTATAATTTCAGTGCCAGAGGATCCAATGCCCTCTGTGGCCTCCATAGGTACTGCACACATGTGGTGCAGACACATATGTGGTGCAAACACACATGCAGGCAGAACACTCATAAAATAAAAATAAACCTATAAAAAATGCAGAATTCAATCCATGGGTGGGAGGTAAAGGAAGGCAAGGGCTCAGGAGAGTACATGAGGCTGTGAAGGGAAGGTCAGCTCAGAGGTTCCATATTTTAAAAATAAGTAACAAAGGTGGCCATGAATGGATCAAAGTAACAGTGAACTAAGAGAATCGTGAATTAAAGGCTATGATTTATCAACTTCTTTACTCAAGGGCAATTAAAGTTTGTTCAAAATTATTTGGTTTCTTGATACAGGGTCACAAGGTAACCCAGGCTTGCCTAGAGCTTATTACAGAGACCAGGCTGGCCTGAACTCATGCTTAGTTCTCAAGACTTTTTGTTTTAGCAAAGTAAGAAATAAACATACTGCCTACTCCCTTCTACACAGAGAAACCTCTCAACAGTTCATTCTGCCAGGTGCAGTGGCTCACATCTATTACCCCACCTGGGAGACTGAGGCAGAACTGCCTAGAGTTCCAAGTCAGCTTGGTTTCTTAGGAAACTAAACCCAAACAACACCTCTTCCAAACCCAAAACCAAACACAACTGATCGTTAAGTAATCTTAATCTATCTCCACTATGTACCTGAAGGAAGATATGTATGAGCTCCTCACACACTGCATGCAGCACATGTGTGTGTATGTGCACTCTTTCTACATTACTTTCCATCTGTGCTGCACAGATGCCATCCACAGGCCTCATTTAGAATTGTTGTTCGAAAGACATGGCTGACGTGGGAAATCCAACATGGCTAAACAAACAAGAGTAGTTCTAAAATCTACTGCTGACAAAATGGGGAAAGGCAGTAGTTCTGGGTATCAGAGTCCACTATAGTTCCAGGAGCAGTGACATGAACATTCCCAGCCACTGCAAATGCTTCCTTACCTAGCATTAGCTTTCTGTTCTTAACAAGAGGCTAAATTAGTAAACTGCTAAGGTGATTTCCAGCTCTAAAACTAAGTCTGTAAATAAAAGCCAAGGCCTGCTTTTAAGAAATTTCATTAAGGGCAGGAGAGATGGCTCAGCGATTAAGGACACTGACTGTTCTTGCAGAAGGCCTGGGTTCGAATCCCAGCACCCACATGGCAGCTAACAACTGTCTGTAACTCCAGCTCTAGGGGATCCGAAAGCCTCTTCTGTCCTCCGCAGGCATTGCATGACAGGGGTGCACTTACCTACATGTAGGCATAACACTCATACACATAGAATAAAAATAATAAATATTTTTAAAAAAGAAATTTCATTAAAAAGAAAAAAAAAGACAAGTTCTCTCAATAAAAAATTCAGATATACCTTTTCACCCTCTTGGAAAACCAGACATCTGTTTCTGTCAAAAGCTGCTTTAGAGATCCATTCCGGGAAGGCACTAGCTGAAGGAATACCCACTAGGTTAAGAAAGATAAGGCTTCATAACCCTGAATATGTCCGAACAGTCCCATCTTTAAAGAGAATACTTTTTTTTTGAGACAAGGTCTGGGTAGCCCATGTTGGCCTTGGACTTACTATGTAGCTGAGGATGGCCTTGAAACCCCTGCGGAATGCTGGGATTATAGGCATATGCCACCATGCCTGGTTTTCTCAGTGCTAGGAGAAGAACCTAGGGCTTTGTGCATGTTAGGCAAGCACTCTATCAACTAATCCCTAAAAACAGTTATATTTTACAACCAATTCAAAGAAGCCTGCTACTAAAGCTTTAAATTCATCATGGCAGGAAATGGAGGTCCAGTGATTAAAAACTGGAAATATGCACCATGAAGCACACTAATCCCTGAAAAATAGTAATGGTCACACCTCAGTGAATTAAACAGGCACAGCTTTAACCTAACTACATTAGTAACTACCAATTTATTCTACTCACTAAACACTATGTAGGATTGTAAAAGAAACTTAACATGGGAAAAGGACTCCCTTTGTCCCAGGATGCAGATCACTGAAGGAACATGTGTGCACCATGTTTAACACAGTGCTGGCACTAAGCACCACACAAGCACCAGCATTTACCGACCAGTCCTGCATCACGGCAGCTGCACTGACAGACGAGAGCAACGGCAGCTCACAGAGATTCGGACACGTCTCCACCCTCTTCTTAGAAAGTTCAACAGTCAGACGCTAAGCTTCCTTGGAAAAACTAGCAATGGCGCCTCATCTCTACCACAGAAACACTATCCAAAGACTACACCGCAGCTTCACAACTGCCTCAAGGGCAGACGGCACTCCACAGACACAGACAACGCACGGTGGGGTGAGAACAGAGTCTGCTCTAATAGATTCTAAGCCTCACCCACAGGCAGAGTAACAATTGATATTTTTTTGAACTATGAAATAAAATTAGACCTAAAATCCATCAGAAGAATGAAATAAAGCTAGACTTGGTAGTTTTAGGAAACGGGAGGCTGAGGCAGAAGAACTGCTTCAAAAGCTTTGAGGTCAGTCTGGGCTACATAATGTCTTCCAAGACAGTGTGGGCTACAGAGTGAGGCCCCACCTCAAGAAAAATAGTCATGAATCCCTAAAGCTAAATATGTACGGCTCTGGCATATGGCCACTAGCTTGAGATAGTCTGGGAAACTGACATAGGTTGTTCAACTTCACAATGGTGCAGAAGTGTGCCATGGACCACACTGCTTTACTTCAGGACAGCACTTAACAAATTACAGAAGACGCACAACACTTAATGATGTAACAGGACTGGCTTAGGTGATGTGGCCAACCACAGGCTAAGGATGTGTTCTGAGCATGTTCCAGAAGGGTGTGGCTCAGCAGGGTGCTCAGGAAATCAGGTGGAATAAATGCTTTCTTGACAGCTGTATTTCAGTTGATGACGTGTTTACTGAGCAGAACCCCAGTGAGCCAAGCAGATGTGCAGTTCCTCCACCGTCTCTAACACTCAGAAGCACTGCTGCCAGATTTTCACCATGGTGAGCAACCTCAAGTAATATACCTGCACATATACGTCGGTACCTTTTTAAGAGCGGTATATACATCCATCTCCACTTGCATCACAAATATGTTAGATGAACCAATGAGCTGTTTCATGATGTTTATACTGGAAAAGATAAAGCACAGGAGTGAGTTTGTCTTCACATAGCTGAAGGACTCTTGTAAGCTATAAACTTCTAAAATAATTTAGTGTGTATCTGTGTGTGGTGTACGTGTGTGAATACAGACACACATGTGCCCCAGTACACATGTAGAGGTCAGAGGACAACTATTGTGAGCTAGTTCTCTCCTTCTACCAATGGTTCTGGAGATGGAACTCAGGTTGTCAGGCTTGTGCTGCTGAGCCATCCCACCTGCCCTAAAACCTTTAATTCTCTGTCAAATGAAAACATGGAGATAAAAAAGGCAGCAGTCTATTTAAACATGACAAAGCACCTCCGTTAACAATCCATCTGAACACAATGCTTCTCATTGTGACACCGGGCTGGGAAGGGCCAGAACACAGAGCCCCGGTCCCCTTACTGTAGGTGAAACAGGATGACTTGCTGACTTGGTCAAAGCAGCAGCCCCCTCTGCCTTCCTACCCACATTTCTATGTTACAAATGAAAAACAAGAAACATTTCTTAAAAATTCACTAAAACAGCTAGATCTTCAAGGTCCCAACCCCACCCCTGCAGGACACTGCTATATAGACCAGCCTGTCCCCAAACTTGCTATCCATCCTGTATCAGCCTTGCAAGTGCTGAGATTAGAGACGGGCCACTATATTTGGTTAAATGGATCTTTAATATCCAGACTTAAGTATTTTATCTGTTATTTTTATTTTATGTGTATGAGTGTATTGTCTGCATGAGTCAACCCTCCAGCCCCAATATCCAGATTTAAAAGAACTGCAGTCAGAAAATATGTTTTCATTAGAGGAAGATGAAAAATGCAGGCTAATTTAGAGTAGAAATGGTTATCGCTGGCCATGGACTCTTATTTCTCCCCTTTTTCTGCTTTCCTAGATTTTAAAGATGATCCCACTATGACCAGCTTTCCTCCTTCAGAAGTGCAATGGGAACTCTAACCTGTCCCCCGGCTGGAAGCTGTGAAATGCCTCCATCAAGATACTGCACACTCACGACACTTGTGCCCAAAATCCTTCACAAGTTTTTTGGGGGTCTGGAGAGATGGCTCAGAGGTTAAGTGCAGAGGACCCAGGTTCAGCTGCCAGCACCCATATGGTGGCTAACAAGCATCCCTAAGTCTGGTTCCAGAGAACAGGACATCGTCTTCTGTTCTCCATGGGCACTGTACAGACATGGTGCACTTACACAGATGCAGAAAAACACTCAAACACATAAAATAAAAATAAATTTTAAAAAAAGTTTGCTTCCATCCAGAATTTGCAGACCCATCATGGTATCTTGGTCTCACTGCTGCAGACAAGCTCTGGTAGTATAAAATAGCACAGCCATCTCTGAATCCTTCACTGCACAGCCCTGAACAGTGTATCTTTGATGCCAGGGACATTCAGGAAGGATGGAAGGAAAGAAGGAGAGTGGGAAGGGGAGGGGAAGGAGAGAGGGAAGGAGGGAAGGGAGGGGAGAAGGGAGGGGAGGTGAGGGAAAGGAAGGGAAGAAAAGGGAAGGGAAGGGAAGGGGCAAGGGAGCTAATGTCTAAGTAAGGAGATGCAGCTTCAAAAGGCCAACCTAACTGTGATTTTAATTTCATCAGTTGGTAAACATTTTTTTAAATTTCATTTATTTTATTTTGTGTGGCTGTGTGAGAGTGCAGGTACATGCAATATCAGTGTATGTGTCAAAGTGAATAGACAATTCTTAAAAACTGGCTCTCTGAGGACAGAACTCAGGTCATTGACACACCTGCAAGCAAGTGCCTCTACCTGGCTGAGATCTACTCGCCTGTAAAAACTGTAAAACATGTTGGGTGTGGTGGTACATGCTTTTAGGCAGGTGGATCTCTGTAAGTTCAAGGCCAGCCTAGTCTACATAATGAGTTCCTGGTCAGCTGGGGCTACAGGAAGACCCTGTCTCAAAGAGACCAAAAAATAAAAATAAAATAAAAATAAATAAAACCCAAAAACCAAAACAAGAAAACAAAACCCCAAATCCAACAACAATAAAAAACAGCAAAAACTCTCTAACGTCTCTATGACGATAATTTTCAAACTATCACTTTTAGACGCTCCGGGAACCTGGCAGAAGTGAGAAGCACTTTACACTTGGAACAGTCTTACAGCAGTGCACTCTGTTAAACTGGAGGAACAACAGACATCAATTTGATCACTGACAACAGAGAAGCAGGTGCGGCATGTATTTGAGTCATGAACGTAGTCAAGGCACCTGTCATTAAACTGCTTTTGTGTATATGTATGTTCTACAAAAGTATCTTGAACACTTGAACAAATGAAAAATATTAAGACAATTAACTGTAAAGTTACTTAGAATCCAGATCCCTGAGTTCTTTGAAAAGCTCAACACGCTGGTGAGTCATCAAGTTGTTTAGCAGCCAGCCACTCTAGGCACCTGAAATTGAAGTCTGATTATCTCCTACATATTAGGTATTTACAACTTATTGAGTAGGTCTTATAGTTAAAAAGAAAACAGAGTGGTAATTGTACTAGGCCATGCTCAAGTTTTTACCTCAGTGATTTGAAATGTAGTATTGCTTTTGTCAGTAGTTAAGGGACCATTTCCTTTATATTAATAATACCACTTCCAATTAAGAAAACTTCATTTCAATGATGTAATAGTTCATAAGGAATTACTTATTTCTATAACCTTCTTTTAACATCCAAATGAGATCTGCAATTCCAAACAGTTAAAACTGCCAGCGTCTGCACTAATGTAACATCTGTGCTGCCTGCTCCTTAAATAGTGACCACAGGAGCTGGAGAGATGACTCGGTGGTTAAGAGTACTGGCTCCTCTTGCAGAGGACCCAGGTTCGATTCCCAGCATCCACAAGGGGGCTAACAATCATTTGCAACTCCAGTTTCAGGCGAATCACTTACACACATGCTGGCAATACACTCATACACATAAAATAAAATTTAAAAATAGTGATCACAGTTTGATAAAGATATTTCATCCACCTTTGATCACTGAGCAGGCCAATGCTTCAGAAGAATTTATTAATTAGTTCAAAAGAAAAAAGGGCTATTACTCTATCTTCCCTCATAATTGTTTCTTACTACATTGTCTTAAGAAATCAAAGCAACCAAATTCCAGAAGTAGGATTGAAGAAAAACAGAAAAGCAACTCACTTTTTCTTTACAGAATCTAATCCACAGGTCCCTGATGATGTGTAACAGCCACACACAGTTTTCACATTCATTGTTTCCTTCACTGTCTCACCACACTGTTGGGTTAAACCATCCTGTAAATATAAATAAGCACTAGAAAGGCCTGTTTCTTGTGGGAAAATTAGTTCCTAGCACAAGGCCCTAAGTTTGATCCAGCACTGAAAAAGAAAGAAAAGAAGAGAGAAAGAAAGAAGAAAGAAAGGAAGGAAGGAAGGAAGGAAGGAAGGAAGGAAGGAAGGAAGGAAGTCATTAAGTGCAGCAAACCTACTTTCAAGTATCCACTACACACACAGAACTGAAAATGAAGGTGGCGGAAGAGGCGGGAGGAGGAGCACCATAGACCTCACTTTCTGTTTTCTGCTCAGGAACTCTGCAAATTGCTCTGGCAGCATTTTATCTGTTTTTTTCTGTTCTTATTAAATTAAGAACTCTACACAGCTAATCAAGTGAGAGAGATAAGTAAATAATACAAATGCATGGAACAGTGATTACCATTTTAAAGACCCATCAACATGCCTCAAAAACAAGTATGGTACAGTTTTAAACAACTTACATTAAAATTTTAATCTAAAATATTTATATAGGTTTCAAATGAATAGAAAAATACTACCTTCAATGTATAGAAAAATAGCCATTTTTTATTCATTTCTGAAATATATTCATGCAACTATATTATTAGAGTTAGTAAGTTTTAAAAATAAGGCAGATAGTAGATTCAGAAAGCCAAAAGGATCAAAGTTAGTGTGCTGGACAGCTTTAGTGTCAACTCGACACATCTGGGTTGAGGGAGCCTCAACTGGGGAATTGCCTCCATTGGGTTGGCCTGTGGCCACGTCTGTGGGGCATTTTCTTGATTGCTGAGTGATGTGGGAGGGCCCGGCCCACTGTGGGTAGTGCCACCCCTGGGCAGGTGGGCCTGTGTTGGATAAGAGAGCAAGCCAGTAAGCTGAGTTCCTCTACGGCCTGTGCTCCAGCTACAGCTTCCAGGTTCCTGCTCCAAGTTCCTACTTTGGGCTCCCTTATGAACTGCGACCTGGGAGAGGTAAGCTGAATCAACCCTTTCCTCCCCAAGTTGGTACTGGTCAAAGTATTTTGCCACAGCAATGAAGAACAAACCAGGACTGTTAGAAATAAAGTACAGACGTTAGAAATTAAGTCTTAGAAAAGATCAAGATATTCTAAAAATCAATCACAATTTAGCAAGCTAACAACTAACACCTCAAATGGACCAGCATGTAAAACAACAAAAAGAAACTTCTTTTGAGGAAAGGGACTATGTGCCCTGGCTGGCTATGCAGACCAGGCTGGCCTCGACACACAGAGATTCACCTGCCTCTGCTGGGATTACTGGCCTGTGTGACCATGCCCGGATAAGACAACTTTTTAAATTAAAACAGAGTACTGACTCACTGATTTTTAAACTTACTTCAAGTTACTTTGGACCCTTCCTCCCTTTCCTCCTGACACCTCAATTTCACCACACCCAGTAGAATGTCCATACTACCTTCACCTAGACGGCATTTGGATGACCCGACCGTAGTATGTTTCTGTCTCTAAAGCTATTCTCATCTTTTCATCAACCCATCCTTCACACAGTCCCTCAAATATTCTTTCACTGTTAATGTGCAGTGCTGGGAATCAAACCTGGGACTTTGCACATGTCAGGCAAATGCTCTACCACAGAGTTGTACCCTCAACCCCCTGGAGTAGTCTCTGTAAAGCATAACTATCTTTCCCTGACTAAAATCTTCCAGAGGTAGAGTAAGCTTTGCAATGCACTGAGGAACTTTCATGATCTGGCTTTTGGCCTCTTTCTTGACAACCTTTTTTATTTATTTTTAATTAAAATTTGATTTATTTGTTTATTTTGCATGCATATGGGAACAATTTTTAGGAATCAGTTCTCTCCTCCTACTATGTGTGGCCTGGGAATCAAACTCAGGTTGGCAGGCTTGGTGGCAGGTGCCTTTACTCACTGAGTTATCATGACAGCCCTATAATTCTTGTATTGATGCTCAAGACACGGTCCTCTTAATTCTCTGACCCTCCTTCCTCTCACATTTCTT